ATTCGATAGAGTTTTTCATTCTGAATCCAATGAAGTCGGTTTCAAATGTGGCACAGGTTATAGAGCGAATATATATACGAAATATGTGCTAAAATGGTGATTTTCGACGTTTTTCATGCAAGTGTATTGAAATGGATAGTTAAAAGGTGTAAAGGAGCATATCAATCGATAGAGCATGTCGAGATGCATAGTAATATATGTTTGTTTGTAAGTTTTGGTGCGCGAGAACGAATAGTTTTAGGAAATACAGTTTTTACGAAATCGTTCCCATGGAGAAAAAAGACTTTTTGATAAATATGAAACGTTCCATGAGGTTAGTACAAAATCTAAGGATACCGTTTGATAGAGCTCGTCGAGTTCTATCTGGCACACAACAAACGATAGGTGGCACACCTTGTCAGGTGAATAATATTTAGAAAAACTCGAATTCGCTGCTAACTTCATCTACATCAAGTTTAACAAATATCGAGATTATTGCTACAATTGCTAGTTTATTTTCTAATGATTCATTAAATCGACATGCGATATTGAAATCTGATGAAACGATTTTAAAAAGTACACCATGGCAAACTACTATGAATAATACTCTATCATTATTTCCAGGTGAGAATTTATTTTGGTTAAGTAAATTACCCACAGGAAATTTAATTGTTGGTGAAACAAATGTTAAAATTCATATAAAAGAAGGATTAACTGTTGATACATATGAAAATTTATTAAAAACCAAAATTGAATATTATATAAATCAATTAAGAATTCTTAAAATTGTGAATACAAATGAATCGAAAAATGAAATTAATGATATGATGAATTATTTTCAAAATATGGAAAGTTCATTATTAACAAATCAAGATGATGTGAAAATACTTCTTAATGATTCTAGTTTACGTGCTCGTTTACAATATTTAAAAACATCGATTATTCGTAAAAAGAAATCATTTGTTATGCGAATGTCTCAAATTGCTAATGATGATAAAGTTTCACAATTGAATTCTGCACAACAAGCGGACTATTTACGTGCAGTTGATAATACTTCTAAAAATGCTCGTGGTTTAGCACGACGTGCTGTTACACAGGGATTAGATTTTAATGAAATTCTTCGTAAAGAAGTACGAATTATGGCTGAACATATTCATGAATTACAAGATATTGATGATAATAATCATTTAGTATCATTTTTTTCTCAAGATACGACACTTGGTGGAATTCGTACTGTTTGTCAATTAGTTACGGATAATATGCTAGATGATATTGATGCAAATGATATTTTACGAATGATAAATATAGTTGGAGTAGGTTGTTCAGGTCCAATTGGTGAATTTCCTGATCCGATGACATGGAGAGTTAATGAAATCTATGTAGGTTGTTATGTTAGTTTATCCGATGTTTTAACAGCTTTTATGCAATCACAAGGTCGATCATTACAAGCACCAGCTATAAATAAAGATATTACAAATGTTATTCCTATTATTGAAGATGAACGTATTGCAAAATTTTTACAAAAATATGCACCTTCATTATTAGAATATACTTGTTCAATTGGTATGCGACGCTTATTAGCCGATGTTCCAATGACTGCTGGTTATACTATATGTGCTGGTGTTTGGAAATTAATTGAAGATTTAAATATAAATAAATCCGAAATACATTTAAAAACTTTTAATGAAGTAGTTAAAACATATGAAATTGTTGTTGGTAATTATTTTCAACATATAATGCCTTATATTAAACAACAACAAAATAATCAACTATCTTATTATATTGCAAATAATGGAACAACAAATATGATAAGTCCATTTATTAAATTATATCGTGAAAATGATACAGCAAAATTAGAACAAATACCAAAAATTTTACGAGCTTTATATACTTATGAAATTTGGCAAGCCATTCGACGACAATATAAAAATCGTGATGATTCAGATCAAATTGCACAAAAAATGCTTGATCAATTAATTGGACTTGATTTAAATAAATATAAAACATCATTACAACCATCATTTGAAGTTGAACCATCATTAAATGAAATACAATTTCATGACCAAATACATACGGATGAAATATATTTAGATGAATTACTCAAAACAGTTTATTATGTTGATTATATTACTTTATTACCTAAATATATATCTGCTGTTATTAATAATAATATTGATAGTATGAAAAATATTCCGACAATTAATGAAAAATTTATTTGTGAAGAATTACAAATCAATTATGATTTAAAAACGTTTAAATTTTATAATGTTTTTCAAGCACTTGTATATACTAGTAAAGCTAGTCGTGTTGATAGTGATAATGAAGTAATGAAAATGATTGATTTAGTTGATGAACAAGCAGCAAAAAAAGTTGTACAAGATTATATACGAAAACGATTTGAAAATCAATATGCAACTGATTTAGCATTAAAAGGACGTTCAGAACGTACAGAATTATCTACAATTTTAGTTCAATCAATTCTACAAGCAACGGATCATAGTCAAGTAGTTCAATTAATGCGAGAAGGTTTAACTCGTGGTAAAATTCAATTAGCGATAGCAAATTCTTCAAGTTTAGGATTTATTGAATTAAAAAATAAATTATTAGATTTAAATGAAAATGTTCCACGACGTTTAGATATTATTAAAATATTTTTATTAGGAAGAGATTATAAACAAAATGATGAACCTGTTTGGAATAATGGAAATGTTTTATTTACACCTGATTTACGTGAATTTGAAAATATTTTCAATACATTAGGTTTTGATGGTGAATGGGCAAAAATAAAAGAAGAATATATGAAACGTAATTTACATGTTTATCGAGATGGATTTAATCGACATGGACATGGTAATACAAAACCATCGTATTGGGCATATGGATATATGACATTACAAATGTATAAAGATACGATTTCGCCTGAAGAATTTCAAGAATATTGTAAAATTCATCATGATTGTTGTGGAGTTTCATCATTTTCGAGTCTATTAACATAATTCTACATTGTTCGCACCCACACTCTCAAAAGATGTGAATTTTTT